AGGCCGGGACTGGGGGGCGGCGGCAGGCGGGGTGGGGCGGGAGCCGATAGGCCGGGGCGTGCTGTGGGCAAGGCCGGGAACTGGGGGGCTGGCTGCAGGCGGGGGGGTGGGAAGCCGATAGGCCAGGGGCGGCTGTGGGCAAGGCCTGGACTGGGGGGCGGCTGCAGGCGGGGGGGGCGGGAGCCGATGGGCCAGGGCGGGCTGTGGGCAAGGCCGGGACTGGGGGGCGGCTGCAGGCGGGGGGGTGGGGAGCCGATAGGCCAGGGCGGGCTGTGGGGCAAGCCGGGACTGGGGGGCGGCTGCAGGCGGGGGTGGGAGCCGATAGGCCAGGGCGGGCTGTGGGGCAAGCCGGGACTGGGGGGTGGCTGCAGGTGGGGAGGGGGGGTGGGAGCCGATGGGCCGGGGCGGGCTGTGGGCAAGGCCGGGACTGGGGGGTGGCTGCAGGCGGGGGGGTGGGAGCCGATAGGCCAGGGCGGGCTGTGGGCAAGGCCGGGACTGGGGGGCGGCTGCAGGCGGGGGGGCGGGAGCCGATGGGCCAGGGCGGGCTGTGGGCAAGGCCGGGACTGGGGGGCGGCTGCAGGCGGGGGGGTGGGAGCCGATAGGCCAGGGCGGGCTGTGGGGCAAGCCGGGACTGGGGGGCGGCTGCAGGCGGGGGTGGGAGCCGATAGGCCAGGGCGGGCTGTGGGGCAAGCCGGGACTGGGGGGTGGCTGCAGGCGGGGGGGGGGGGTGGGAGCCGATGGGCCGGGGCGGGCTGTGGGGCAAGCCGGGACTGGGGGGTGGCTGCAGGCGGGGGGGGGGGGTGGGAGCCGATAGGCCAGGGCGGGCTGTGGGCAAGGCCGGGACTGGGGGGGGTGGCTGGCAGGCGGGTTGGGGGCGAGGGTCGGCATGCAGAGAGGTGGGGGACAAGACCCACTGGCAGGTGGGTGGGGGTGGGGGTGGGGCCAGTGGGCAGGCAAATGGGGCAGGGATGGGGGCAGGCAGATGGGGCGGGGCCAGGGCAGGCAGATGGGGCGGGGCCAGGGCAGGCAGATGGGGCGGGGCCGGGGCAGGCAGATGGGCGGGGCCGGGGCAGGCAGATGGGTGGGGCCGGGGCAGGCAGATGGGGTGGGGCCGGGGCAGGCAGGTGGGGCGGGGCCAGGGCAGGCAGATGGGCGGGGCCGGGGCAGGCAGATGGGGCGGGGCCGGGGCAGGCAGATGGGGCTGGCCGGGGCAGGGGTGCTGAGCTGTGACCCGGGGCCCCCAGGACCTGAAGCTCGTCAACAGTTACCTCAAGAGCTGCTTCCTCATCTTCCCCAACTACAACCTGGGCCACGGGCTCATGGAGATGGCATACAACGAGTACATCAACGAGTACTACGCCAAGATCGGTGAGCCGCGGCGCCCGGGCGGGGCTGCCCTGCGCCCGCACAGGCCCTGAACCCGCTGCCCCGCAGGCCAGTTCGACAAGATGAAGTCGCCGTTCGAGTGGGACATCGTCACGCGCGGGCTGGTGGCCATGACGGCCGAAGGCTTTGTGGGCTTCCTGCTCACCATCCTGTGCCAGTACAACTTCCTGCGGCAGCCACAGTGAGCCGGGCGCCGCAGGGGCGGGGCGGGGCGGGGCGGGGCGGGGGGACGGAGGCTGGGCATTGCCCACCCCCCACCGCAGCCACAGTGACCTCAGGGGCGGGGGGACGGAGGCCGGGCAATGCCCACCCCCCACCGCAGCCACAGTGACCTCAGGGGCGGGGAGACGGAGGCCGGGCGCTGCCCACTCTGTCCCCCCAGGCGCATGCCAGTGTCCACCAAGCCGGTGGAGGACGACGTGGACGTGGCCAGCGAGCGGCAGCGCGTGCTCCGTGGGGATGCCGACAATGACATGGTCAAGATCGAGAACCTGACCAAGGTGGCCTGGGCCGGGCCGGCGGGCGGCGGGCATGGCGTACCCAGGCCTCCGCCCTGCTCAACGGGCACCCCGCCCCGTCCAGGTGTACAAGTCCCGGAAGATCGGGCGCATCCTGGCCGTGGACCGCCTGTGCCTGGGAGTCCGCCCCGGCGAGTGCTTCGGCCTCCTGGGCGTCAACGGCGCGGGCAAGACCAGCACCTTCAAGATGCTGACGGGGGACGAGAGCACCACGGGGGGCGAGGCCTTCGTGAACGGGCACAGGTACGGGGGGGGCACAGGTGCTCAGAGCACTGCCCCAGGTCGGGGGGGCCAGGGCGCACGGGGGCCGGTGGAGCTGCTGCGGGTCAGGGTGGGGGCCCAGGGCACACGGGTGCTCAGGGTGCTGCCCCAGGTCGGGGGTGGGGGGTCCCAGGGTGCTCAGGGCGCTGCCCCAGGTTGGGGGGTCACACGGGTGCTCAGGGCGCTGCCCCAGGTCAGGGGGGCACACGGGTGCTCAGGGCACTGCCCCAGGTCAGGGGGGGCACACGGGTGCTCAGGGCGCTGCCCCAGGTCAGGGGGGCACACGGGTGCTCAGGGCACTGCCCCAGGTCAGGGGGGGCACACGGGTGCTCAGGGCACTGCCCCAGGTCGGGGGGGGTCCCAGGGTGCTCAGGGCGCTGCCCCAGGTCGGGGGGGTCCCAGGGTGCTCAGGGCGCTGCCCCAGGTCGGGGGTGGGGGGTCCCAGGGTGCTCAGGGCGCTGCCCCAGGTCAGGGGGGGTGCACGGGTGCTCAGGGCACTGTCCCAGGTCGGGGGGGTCCCAGGGTGCTCAGGGCACTGCCCCAGGTCAGGGGGGGCACACGGGTGCTCAGGGCACTGCCCCAGGTCGGGGGGGGGGTCCCAGGGTGCTCAGGGCGCTGCCCCAGGTCGGGGGTGGGGGGTCCCAGGGTGCTCAGGGCGCTGCCCCAGGTCAGGGGGGGTGCACGGGTGCTCAGAGCGCTGCCCCAGGTCGGGGGGGGGTCCCAGGGTGCTCAGGGCACTGTCCCAGGTCGGGGGGGTCCCAGGGTGCTCAGGGCACTGTCCCAGGTCGGGGGGGCCCAGGGTGCTCAGGGCACTGTCCCAGGTCAGGGGGGAGGTCCCAGGGTGCTCAGGGCGCTGCCCCAGGTCGGGGGTGGGGGGTCCCAGGGTGCTCAGGGCGCTGCCCCAGGTTGGGGGGGGCCCAGGGTGCGGCCGGGCGCACGGGCTCAGGTGCTCCCGGCCCTGCCGCCCCCAGCGTGCTCCGGGAGCTGCTCCAGGTGCAGCAAAGCCTGGGCTACTGCCCCCAGTTTGACGCCCTGTTCGATGAGCTCACGGCGCGGGAGCACCTGCAGCTCTACACGCGGCTGCGCGGCGTGCCCTGGAAGGAGGAGGCCCGGGTGAGGGGCGGGCTGGGGGCGGGGGGCGGGCCCTGGAAGGAGGAGGCCCGGGTGAGGGGCGGGCTGGGGGCGGGGGGCGTGCCCTGGAAGGAGGAGGCCCGGGTGAGGGGCGGGCTGGGGGCGGGGGGCGGGCCCTGGAAGGAGGAGGCCCTGGTGAGGGCGGGGGTGGTGGTGGTGGTGGTGGTGGTGGTGGTGGTGGTGGTGGTGGTGCGGGCCCTGGAAGGAGGAGGCCTGGGTGAGGGTCCGGCTGGGGGCGGTGGGTGGGCGGGCTCTGGGAGGAGGAGGCCCAGGTGTGGGGGGTGGGTGTGCCCTGGAAGGAGGAGGCCCGGGTGAGGGGCGGGCTGGGGGCGGGGGGCGGGCCCTGGAAGGAGGAGGCCCGGGTGAGGGGCGGGCTGGGGGCGGGGGGCGGGCCCTGGAAGGAGGAGGCCCGGGTGAGGGTCCGGCTGGGGGCGGGGGGCGGGCCCTGACGGCCCCTTCCCTCCAGGTGGTGAAGTGGGCCCTGGAGAAGCTGGAGCTGACCAAGTACGCGGACAAACCCGCCGGCACCTACAGCGGCGGCAACAAACGCAAGCTCTCCACAGCCATCGCCCTAATCGGGTCCCCCGCCTTCATCTTCCTGGTGAGCCCCCGGGAGGGTCCCCGCCTTCATCTTCCTGGTGAGCCCCCGGGAGGGTCCCCGCCTTCATCTTCCTGGGGAGCCCCCGGGAGGGTCCCCGCCTTCATCTTCCTGGGGAGCCCCCGGGAGGGTCCCCGCCTTCATCTTCCTGGTGAGCCCCCGGGAGGGTCCCCGCCTTCATCTTCCTGGGGAGCCCCCGGGAGGGTCCCCGCCTTCATCTTCCTGGTGAGCCCCCAGGGAGGGTCCCCGCCTTCATCTTCCTGGTGAGCCCTCGGGGAGGGTCCCCGCCTTCATCTTCCTGGGGAGCCCCCGGGAGGGTCCCCCGCCTTCATCTTCCTGGTGAGCCCCCAGGGAGGGTCCCCGCCTTCATCTTCCTGGTGAGCCCTCGGGGAGGGTCCCCGCCTTCATCTTCCTGGGGAGCCCCCGGGAGGGTCCCCCGCCTTCATCTTCCTGGTGAGCCCCCAGGGAGGGTCCCCGCCTTCATCTTCCTGGTGAGCCCTCGGGGAGGGTCCCCGCCTTCATCTTCCTGGGGAGCCCCCAGGAGGGTCCCCCGCCTTCACCTTCCTGGGGAGCCCCCGGGAGGGTCCCCCGCCTTCACCTTCCTGGGGAGCCCCCGGGAGGGTCCCCCGCCTTCACCTTCCTGGTGAGCCCTCGGGGAGGGTCCCCGCCTTCATCTTCCTGGTGAGCCCCCGGGGAGGGTCCCCGCCTTCATCTTCCTGGTGAGCCCCCAGGGAGGGTCCCCGCCTTCATCTTCCTGGTGAGCCCCCGGGAGGGTCCCCGCCTTCATCTTCCTGGGGAGCCCCCGGGAGGGGTCCCCGCCTTCACCTTCCTGGGGAGCCCCCGGGAGGGTCCCCGCCTTCATCTTCCTGGGGAGCCCCCGGGAGGGTCCCCGCCTTCATCTTCCTGGGGAGCCCCCGGGGAGGGTCCCCGCCTTCATCTTCCTGGGGAGCCCCCGGGAGGGTCCCCCGCCTTCATCTTCCTGGGGAGCCCCCGGGGAGGGTCCCCTGCCTTCACCTTCCTGGTGTTCCCCCGGGGAGGGTCCCCGCCTGCATCTTCCTGGGGAGCCCCCAGGGAGGGTCCCCGCCTTCATCTTCCTGGGGAGCCCCCGGGAGGGGTCCCCGCCTTCACCTTCCTGGGGAGCCCCATAGCACGGGGGTTTGGTCCCCCGCCCACTGCCCTTTTCCTGGGCCCCAGCCAGCGCTGGCCTGGCAGGGCCCGTGCGGGAGCCTGGCAGCGGCTGAGCCCGCTGCCCACCCCCAGGATGAGCCCACCACAGGCATGGACCCCAAGGCCCGGCGCTTCCTCTGGAACCTCATTCTGGACCTCATCAAGACGGGCCGCTCCGTGGTGCTCACGTCCCACAGGTGAGCTCGCCCCCGGCCGCCGCGCCCCGCCCCCAGGGCCCGCGTGCCAGCCCGTGTCTCCGCCCCCAGCATGGAGGAGTGCGAGGCCCTGTGCACGCGCCTGGCCATCATGGTGAACGGTCGGCTGCGCTGCCTAGGCAGCATCCAGCACCTGAAGAACCGGTGAGCCGCGGCGGGGGCGGGGCGGGGCGGGGCCTGCGGGCCGCGGGGGGCGGGGCGGGGCGGGGTCTGCGGGCCCGGCGGGGGCGGGGCGGGGCGGGGCCGGCGGGGGTCTGGGGGCGGGGCGGGGCGGCGCTGGGGCGGGGTCTGCGGGCCTGCGGGGATATGCTGGTGGGCGGGGCGGGGTCTGCGGGCCGCGGGGGGCGGGGCGGGGCGGGGCCGGCGGGGGTCTGGGGGCGGCGCTGGGTCTGCGGGCCGCGGGGGGGCGGGGCGGGGTCTGCGGGCCCGGCGGGGGTCTGGGGGCGGGGCGGGGCGGCGCTGGGGCGGGGTCTGCGGGCCTGCGGGGGGGGTATGCTGGTGGGTGGGGCGGGGCGGGGCGGGGTCTGCGGGCCGGCGCGGGTATGCTGGTGGGTGGGGCGGGGTCTGCGGGCCCGGCGGGGGCGGGGCGGTGCTGGGGCGGGGTCTGCGGGCCTGCGGGGGTATGCTGGTGGGCGGGGCGGGGTCTGCGGGCCCGGCGGGGGTCTGGGGGCGGGGCGGGGTCGGCAGCGCCGGGCGCGGGGGGGGGGGGGGGGGGGTCTGCTGGCGGCACAGGGCCCCGGCCTCCAACCTGTGCCGCCAGCTTTGGAGACGGCTACATGATCACCGTCCGGACCAAGAGCAGCCAGAACGTGAAGGAGGTGGTGCGGTTCTTCACCCGCAACTTCCCGGAGGCCATGCTCAAGGTGGGCGGGGCTCGGGGCGGGGCGGGGCTCGGGGCGGGGCGGGGCGGGCCCGGGCCCCGCCCCGCGCCGCCCCTCTGACTGCCGGCCGCTGCCCAGGAGCGACACCACACGAAGGTGCAGTACCAGCTCAAGTCCGAGCACATCTCGCTGGCCCAGGTGTTCAGCAAGATGGAGCAGGTAGTCGGCGTGCTGGGCATCGAGGACTACTCGGTCAGCCAGACCACCCTGGACAACGTGAGTGCTCGCCTGGCCCTGCCCGCCGCCGCCGCCGCCCGCCCGGCCCGCGCGCCCACCGCCCCGCCCCGCCCCGCCCTGCCTGCAGGTGTTCGTGAACTTCGCCAAGAAGCAGAGCGACAGCCTGGAGCAGGAGATGGAGCCGCCCTCGGCCCTGCAGTCCCCGCTCGGCCGCCTGCTCAGCCTGCTGCGGCCCCGGCCGGCCCCCACGGAGCTCCGGGCGCTGGCGGCCGACGAGCCGGAGGACCTGGACACGGAGGACGAGGGCCTCATCAGCTTCGAGGAGGAGCGGGTGAGCGGGCGGGCCGCCCGGGGCGTCGGGGAGGGGGAGCCAGAGGGGCGCCTGCCGTGCTGAGGTCCAGGGGTCGAGTAGACGGGGAGACAGCGTGGGGGCGGCAGGGACAGGGCCTGGGACGCAGTGGCCCTGGGGGAGGCCAGAGGCGGGGTCCAGGCAGGGGCAGTCCCCACAAGGCCGGCCTGTCTGTTCCCGCCAGGCTCAGCTCTCCTTCAACACGGACACGCTCTGCTGACCACCTGGAGCTGGGACAGGGACGCACGGTGAGGACATCCGTGTCCCCGTGCCACCTGCCAGGGCCTGGGGGCGGAGGCTTAGGACTAAGGGCCTCTTCCTGTCCTCCAGCCCAGCACCGTCCTCGGCCCTGTCCTGTGGTCACTGTGGCCCTTGCCCACTTGTGCCAAAGGCTGGCCCGGCCCCGGGCTGCGCACACCCTCACCCCGCTTTGCCTTAAAGCCTTGGGGTCCGGCCTGGCCCCTTGCCCGCCCACCCAGCTCTGCCCACCGCCCTGGGGTGACCTGGGCTGCTCCGGGCGCTCCCCAACCTTTACCGGCTTCTCTGACCCTGGCGGAGGGGTGGGGCCGGGCCTCGCTCAGGCTGGGTGGTCTCACCTGGCCCTGCTCTGCAGGTGGCTGCCCTGGGGGGTGGGGTGGGGCGGGGCAGGGCAGGTGGAGCAGTGTGGAGAAGCTGCCCCCTCCGAACAGGTGGGGGCCCAGGCCCTGCCCCAGCCCTTCCTCCTGCCTCCGCTCCCCCAGCTTGGCCCCTGCCGACCTCCCCCACCTGGGAGCTGGACCTGTACATAGCGCACAGATGTTTGTTTTCAATAAATAAACAGAAAAGCCCTGGGTGTCCATGTGCTTGCCTGCCAGGGGCTGGCTGTCCCCCAGTGAGCCGCACAGGGCAGCAGCTCTGCCAGGGCCCAGGTGTGGAGCCCAAGGCAGTCGCCCCGACATTCCCTGGGGCCCCACAGGGGCAGGTTACCCCCCGGGGGCTGAGTGGGGGGGGCTGTGCCCGCCTGCATTCCATCTCGCCTGGTTGCTGCCTGTCTGGACGCCGGAGCCCCTGGGCAGGCAGGAGGGCCTGGGGCAGAGCCCAGGGAGCCGTGCAGGCAGGGCCGGGGCTGCTGGGACCTTGTCCCCACACTGACCCACACCTGGGGTCAGCCATGCACCTGCTGCACAAGGTGACTGGGGACAGCAGCACTGACCAGAAGGGTGGGGCCGGCACTGCAGCCGTGCCGCGGAGTCTCCTCGGCCTGAGCCGCTCCTGCAAGCCCCCCCCCCCCCCCCCCGGTGAGGGATGTGGACATGGACCCGAGCTCTGGTCCTCCTCCCCTTTTTCCTCTTTGAAGACTGATTTGTTTGAAAGAGCGACAGAGGGAGGGAGAGCTCATCCATCCCCCGGGTCGCTCCCCAGATGGCTGCAATGGCCCGGCCTGGGCCAGGAGCCGTATCCGGGTCTCCCACGCGGGCGCAGGAGCCGCAGCACCTGGGCCACCCTCCTGCTTTGCCAGGCCGTAGCAGAGAGCTGGACGGGAAGTGGAGCTCTGCCGAGCCTCAGTGCCTGCCCGCTCCGGCTCCCCTTAGGGCCGTGGTCCAGGCAGGGTGGCTCATCCGCCATGGAGCAGGGGCCGCCTTTGGATGGTCACTGTCTGCGGATTCCACTGGCTCACGATGGTGCCTCCGTCTTCCTGCCCCGCCCCCGCCCCACAGTCTGGAGCCTGAAACAGCAGAGATCTGTGGTGGGGCGGTGCTGGGGGGCAGCGCTGGGTCCTTCCGAGGGCCGGGAGGGAGACTCGCCCCTGCTCACACAGCACCCTCGCTGCACGGACGCCTGCCCCTGCGCCTGTGTGCAAACCCCTGCGCCTGGAGGGCCCCGTCACTGGGTCAGCCCTCACAGGCTAACCTGACCACCTCTGAAGGACACTGCGGTCCCAGCCGGGTGGACAGCACTGCACAGCTGACAGCGCCGGGGCAGCGATGCGCCTGCTCCCTCCCTATCCTGTCCACCTCATGGTTTTGCTTAGGGAGCTGTGAGGGCGCCTGCACAGAGGCGTGGACATGGGGACCACCGGCAGGTGTGCGAGGGCTTCTCCAGGGGAGAGCCCCTGGCCACCCCAAAGACCGGCCCTGGGAGTGGAAGGGGACAACAGAGGGGCAGGGGAACTCGGGGCTCAAAGGATGCTGGAGCCCCACACGGCGGCTTCCGAGACCCTCCTCTGCCTGTGCCCAGGAGCCCTGGCCAGCATGGGGTCAGATGACGGGTGCTGGGGCGTGGGCCACCTGGGACAGCCACAGGGGCCCTGCCGGGGACCGTTCCCTGGCAAGCAGGCTGGTGGCTGAGTGGGTGGGAGTGGCGCCACCTGGGCCACACTGTCCCCGACAGCCCGGCACCACAGCGCCCGAGGGAGGGGAAGGCAGCCGGGCCGGTCCTACGCTGGCCACTGGGTTGCACCGCGCCTCCCCGGGGAGCTCACAGCAGGTGCCAGCAGCTGAGCTGGAGGCTGGGCCGGCGGGCAGGCGGGCACCTGCAGGCCTCCCACCTCCCCGGTCCTTGTAGTCCAGCCCAGGGCCACACGCACCAAGGGTAGGGCTTCCACTCCCTGGCGCTGCTTTTCCGAGGCTGAGAGTGAGACGCCTGCCTCGGCCCCCTCTGGGGGAACACCCAAGCCAGGTTCCCCGGCCCAGCAGGGCACGCCTGGAATGCAGCTCCACCCCGAGCAGGGAGGGCCCAGCCGGGGAGCCCAGTCCTGGGAGGGCGTCTCCTGCAAGGGAGCTCCTGGCTCCCGGGAGACGGAGACGGAGATGGAGGCCAGGGCCGCCGTTTCTCCCACCCCACCCCGCTGGGCTGGGGGTCCCAACACGGGGGTGCTGCTGCAAGAGAGGCAACAGCCCTGACCCAGAGCCGCCCCCAGGCTGGCTCGGCCCCGCCCCCAGCACGCCTGTGGCTGGTGGGCTCTCCCACCCCCTCCAGCACACTGGCACCCCCCCCCCAGCCAGCCTGGCCTGGCCTCACGTCCCCCAGGTGGCCAGCTCTGCGCCACTGGCACGGCCTGCCTAGGTGGCTGCAGGGGGCGGGCCGAGGAGCGGGGAGGGCGGGGCGGCCAGGCGGCCTTAAAGAGCTGCGGGCCCCACCCTGTGCCCCAAGCCCCGGCTCCACCATGGCCGAAACCTCCAAGCTGCAGCTGTTTGTCAAGGTGGGCTGGGGGGCTGGGGGGGGCGCGGAGCTTGCTGAGGGCTGGGTCTCCCCAGCACCGCCTGAGCCCCTGCTCCTACCATGGGTTCAGGGCACCCCACAGAGGCTGGGGGAAGGGGAGCCACATGGGGGCGGAGGCAGCCCTAGGCAGTCTGGGTGGCCCCGGTCCCACTCCCACCCTTGGTCCTCGAGCTAGGCCCCTTTGTGGGAAGGCCTGGCGGGACCCTGGGGTCACCGGGCCTGGGCAGGAGCAGGGGTCACACCCAGATCTGAGTGGGGGCTGTCAGGCCCTGTCCCCTCCCCGAGCTCAGGATCCGGGAGCCAGCGTGCGCGCGCCCAGCCCAGTGCCCAGTTTGCCGGGTGAATCACCTAGGAAACAGCCGGCCGGGTCCCCCTCACCCTTGCCGCCAGCCTCTGGCCCTGCCCAGGTTCCCCGAGGCTGGCACCCGCCTCCCCTTCCAGGGGTGCCCTGGACTGACCCCCACCTCACAGGGACCGAGTCAAGGGCCCTCAGCTGACACTTGGAGAGCCGGGCCGGGCTCCCGGGCTCCCGCCCAGCCGGGCGGCAGATTCCTGGGTCTGCTCCCAGCCCGGCTGGCTGTGCCCCACCCACCCAGGCGAGCGAGGACGGCGAGAGCGTCGGCCACTGCCCGTCCTGCCAGCGGCTCTTCATGGTCCTGCTCCTGAAAGGGGTGCCTTTCACGCTCACCACGGTGGACACGCGGAGGTGAGCCCCGCCGCACAGCAGGCCCGCCCGACCCCCTGCGCGCCCCTCGGCCAGCCTCTCCCCCCCCTCCCCCCCGCCCCGCAGGTCGATGGACGTCCTCAAGGACTTCGCGCCAGGCTCGCAGCTGCCCGTTCTGTTGCACGACGGGGACGCCAAGACCGACACGCTGCAGATCGAGGAGTTCCTGGAGCGGACGCTGGGGCCGCCCGAGTGAGCGCCGAGCGGGGCGCGCGAGGCCCGGGCGGGAAGGGCGCCTGGGGCGGCGTGCGGGAGTCAGCCGAGTTCCCCCCACGCCCGCAGCTTCCCCAGCCTGGCGCCGCGGTACGGGGAGTCCAGCACGGCGGGTAACGACGTCTTCCACAAGTTCTCCGCCTTCATCAAGAACCCGGTGCCCGCGCACGACGCAGGTGAGGCGGGCCGGGGGCCGGGCGAGGGCGGGGCGCGCCCCGGGCCGGCCCTCACCCACCGCGCCCGCGCCCGCAGCCCTGTACCAGCAGCTGCTGCGCGCTCTGGCCAGGCTGGACGGCTACCTGCGCGCGCCCCTGGAGCACGAGCTGGCGCGGGAGCCGCAGCTGCGCGAATCGCGCCGCCGCTTCCTGGACGGCGACCAGCTCACGCTGGCCGACTGCGGCCTGCTGCCCAAGCTACACATCGTGGACGTGAGCGGCCCGGGCCCGCAGCCGGGACCAGGGCGGGCGGGGAGGCGGGCGCGGGTCGTGGAGAGGCTCTGACCACACCCTGCACCCACCCGCAGGCCGTATGCGCGCACTTCCGCCAAGCGCCCATCCCCGCGGAGCTGCGGGGCGTGCGCCGCTACCTGGACAACGCGCAGCAGGAGAAGGAGTTCAAGTACACCTGCCCGCACCGCGCCGAGATCCTGGCGGCCTACCGGCCGGCCGTGCACCCCCGCTAGCCCCCTGCCCCACCCCGCCCCATGAAGGCCTCTCTGCCCCAGAAGCTGGGGGGGGGGCAGGTGTCCCACCCTCGGCCATTGCTGCCACCCCAGGAGCTCGAGGGCAGCGCTCCGGCCCAGATGAGTGCGCCACCAGCACAGGGGGACTGGACTGGGCTCCCAAACCAGTCAGGCCGGGGCGGGGCGGCCGAGGGGTGGGGCCCGCATTCCTCCCCAGGCCCAGGCTGCAGGCCCGGACCCCTCCCCCATCCCCTCCCCCATGGTGGTCACAGTGCAGATGCTGCCCCGCCCCACCATGGCCCTCCAAACACGTGTGTGCTCAGCACATCCTCCTGCGAGCATTCTCCTATGGGTGGGGGGGCCATGTTCTGCTGGGCGGGGCCTGGGAGGCTGAGAGCAGAGCTCCGAGCCGTGGGGAGCCCTGGCTGTGCCGTCCCGGCACCTGGGCTGGCCAGGGAGGGAGGACCAGGTGGGTGTGAGGTGGCTCCACCACCTGCAGGGCCACATGGGCGGCGCCTCCTCTAGGGAGCCGGCTGCACCTGTTGAGATCCAGGGGCCCCACCCGCGCCCAGAGTGCAGGCCCCAGGGGGCTCCCTGACCCCCTGCGCCAGCACCCCCAGGAACCAGCGCCTCGCCACCTCAGGGCACCTTTATTTGATGGGGCAGGGTCCTGAGGGGCAGCAGGATGGGCCGGGGGTGGCGGGGGCTCCCAGGGTGGTGCCCACCCCCCAGGCAGACTCCAAGCACAGCCACACTTCGCTGTCACTTCAGGCTTCGTCAAAGTCAACACCGCCGGCCGGTTTCTTACTGGGAGAGAAGAGGGGGTGAGGAGGCAGCGGCTGGGCCGGACCGTGGGCGCGGGGAGGGTGGGGGTGGGCAGGTACCTCTTGAAGCCGGGGTTGATGAGGGACTCCCCTGGACACCGTCTGCGGACTCCCTGTCCAGGGCCACCTCGCTGGGGATCCAGATCTAGGGGGAAACGGGACAGGGGATCCTGGACCCAGCAGCACCCGGGCAACAGCCCGTTCCCGATACCGGGGCCTCTCCGCGGACCTGCGCCCGGCCCGCTCCAGCCCCAACCCACTTCCCAGGCGACGCCTCACCTGGTAGGAAGAGCTGAGGCCCCGCCGGCCGGGGGCTCTTCCTAGGGCTGGGGGTCGACTCCTCCGCGGCTGAGGGAGGGGACCAGAGTCACTACGGGAGCTGCCAGGGGACCGGCACCTACGGGACCCCTACGGGGGGTGACGAGGGTCCCCACCTGCCAGCCGCCGCTCCAGGCTGCACACCCGCTCTGCCAGGCCCAGGGTCAGCGCCTGCAGCCTGGGGGCTGCCTCTGGGCCGGCTACCTCCGAGAGCTCAAAGGCCAGGGCGGAGGGCGCCCCGGGGAGCGTCAGGGATGCCGCCTCCTCCTGCAGGGTCACGGTCACGGCTTGCTGCTGGCAGGCTGCCCTGGGAGACAGAGCGTCCGGCTGCGTCCACGCCAGGCCCGCCCCCCCCCGCCCACGCCTGCCCAGCACCGGGCTCACCTGAACCGGGCGCCGAGGTCCTCCGCCGCGCTCAGCCCCAAGCGCGCCTTCTACGGGCACAGAGCCTTGTCACCAGGGCCCCTCCGAACCCAGCCCGAGTCACCTGGGGTGCCAGGCCAGGCAGGCCGGCAGGCCGGGGTCCCCCTCCCCGCCTGGGCCCCTGTACCCACGAGGGCCGCCAGGCCGCCCGGCGTCCAGCAGGTGCTCCAGAGCCGCGCGCCGTCCGTCACGCTGCGGCGAGAGGGGCTGTCAACGCGGCCGCCCGTCCCCGGGGCTCCCCGCACCGCCCCTCGCCCGGGAGCCCCCCACTCACCAGAGGGTGAAGCCGTCCTCGTCCCCGCCCTCCTGGCCCTCGCACCAGCACACGAAGCGGGGCGGCCCCGGGCCCGGCGGCAGCGTGCACAGCGGCGGCGGCACCATGGCAGCTCGGAAGCCGCGGGCCGCGCTGCGGGCCTAGGGCGCCTGCGCGGGGCGGGGCCTGCCCGGGGCGGAGCCTTCGAGGACTCGGAGCCCAGCCGCACGACGCAGGCGCAGTAGCCCCGCCGGCCACGCTTCCGGTGCGGAGAGGCGAGGCTCGCGGTCTCCGGCGGGGCGGGACCGAGCGCGCACCTGCGCGGCGAGCCTTGGGCGGGGTGGCGGGCAGGGGGCTCGGGCTGCCCGGGCCCCCGGGGCTGGCCCCTCTGGGTCTGTTTGCTGACCGCGGCCTGCAGTGAGGGAGCCGGGCCCAGCGCTGCCGCCGCCCGGGTCTGCACCGCGGGTAGCGGGAACGAGGCGCGGGCTGCGCCTGCTCTGCGCTGCGGTGTGGGACGCGGTGACTCCCGCGGCGCCGGCTTGCTGTTCTCAGCCGCTGCGTGCGGGCGTGGTGACCGGCGCACCGGGGCGCACGGGGCAGGCGTTGCTGCGCAGCCCGAGGGACCCTGCCCGCTCCCGGCTGCCCCCCGGGGCCCAGCTCCTGCTAACGGTCACCGTGGGTGGAGGCCCCGGCTGCTGCTGTGGGCAACTGGGGAGCGAACCAGCAGGTGGGAGGTTTCTCCCCCACCCTGTTAAATAAATAAATACAAAACTTAAAAAATATTGTGGAGCTGTTGCGGGTTGGAGTGGGCCTGGCCCCCTGACTCAGCGTGGGCGGCCCACACTGGGCACCAGGGAGCTGGACCCGGCTGCAGGGGTGGACGGAGGGAGAACAGTGGGGGGGGGGCTGCTGGGGCTGGGGCAGAGCTGGGGGGGAGGTGGAGGGAGGCCCAGGACTGGGGCTGGGGCACAGCTGGGGGGGGGGGAGGGAGGCCCAGGGCTGGGGCACAGCTGGGGGGGAGGGAGGCCCAGGACTGGGGCTGGGGCAGAGCTGGGGGTGAGGGAGGCCCAGGGCTGGGGCTGGGGCACAGCTGGGGGGGGGAGGGAGGCCCAGGGCAGGGGCTGGGGCACAGCCTGGGGGGGGTGGGGGGCCCAGGGCAGGGGCACAGCTGGGGGGGAGGGAGGCCCGGGGCTGGGGCTGGGGCACAGCTGGGGGGGAGGGAGGCCCAGGGCTGGGGCACAGCTGGGGGGGAGGGAGGCCGGGGCTGGGGCTGGGTAACAGTGGGGGGGGGGGAGGCCCAGGGCTGGGGCTGGGTAACAGGGGGGGGGGGAGGCCCAGGGCTGGGGCTGGGGCACAGCTGGGGGGGAGGGAGGCCCAGGGCTGGGGCTGGGGCACAGCTTGGGGTGGGAGGTGGCCCAGGGCTGGGGCAGAGCTGGGGGGGAGGTGGAGGGAGGCCCAGGGCTGGGGCACAGCTGGGGGGGGGGGAGGGAGGCCCAGGGCTGGGGCAGAGCTGGGGGTGAGGCCCGGGGCTGGGGCACAGCTTGGGGTGGGGGGTGGCCCAGGAGCAGACCCTGCATGTGGGAGAGTGGAAAAGGGGGAGGGGAGCTGGCCAAGACCACGGGGGGGTGCGGGGGGGCCTCTCCAGGGGCCAGTAATGGCGCCAGCACTCTGGCTGCCTAAACATGGGCCCTCCAGGCCCAGAGCTCAAGGCCTGGGTCATGGTTCCAGGTAGGATGTGGGGGCCGAGCCGCAGCCCCTCAGCCCTGGAAGCTGGAGTGTTCTGTGGTTGGAGAGGGGCCTCGTCCGAGATGGCCTCTAGGGAGCCGGCTGCACCTGTTGAGATTCAGGGGCCCCACCCGCGCCCAGAGTGCAGGCCCCAGGGGGCTCCCTGACCCCCTGCGCCCGCACCCCCAGGAACCAGCGCCTCGCCACCTCAGGGCACCTTTATTTGATGGGGCAGGGTCCTGAGGGGCAGCAGGACGGGCCGGGCAGGACACAGGGCTGACCTCGCACCCAGGCAGGGAGGAAGGCAGCCCGAAAGGGCAGCTGCGAGCTAGGCGGTGGCCAGGGCCTCGAGGGGAGTCGGCCGGACGGTGGCGGCAGAGGCACAGAGGCCCTGTCGTGGACAGGACTGCAGGGCGGCTGGAGCCAGGTGGACGGACGGCCAGGGAGGGCCTTGTGGGTCGGGTGCTGTCGTGTCAGTGAGATGGGACCCGGAGGGGGCAGGGCCCAGCGCCCATTCTCCAGGCTGGGGGGAGGGGGGTGCTGAAGGCCGCCCCCGTGTGGCCAGCGCGGGGTGGTGCAGGGGGCGGGAATCCTGGGCTGCAGCAGGGAGGGAGAGGGAAGAGGGAGAGGGAGAGGTGTGCTGCTCTGAGGCCGGCAGCACACCCTGGAGTCCCCTCTGCTGCCCTGGGCGCCCCTGCGTCTCCCGGTGCCTGTGGGAGATGAGCAGCGACGAGCAGACCTCCCCAGCCACCCACCCAGCGCCTCTCAGCGGGTGCCCCCCAGGCAGGTGCTGTCCCCTGGCCAGGCGCTAGGAGACGCAGTGTGGGGCCGGCTCTCCTCTCCGGGTCTGCCAGCCTTCAGGGGGCCCAGGGCAGGCGCCGGCAGGAGCTTGGCCTTGTGGGGGCTCCTAGCCTCGAGGCCAGCGTGCAGGTGGTGGGGCAGGCGTGCCGCGGCTGCCGGGGCCCCCGGAACTCAGGGGAGGCCTTGTCTCTGTGACCGGTCAGTCCAGCTGGACCCCCTCACGGAAGGCACGTCTGAGGGGACACGGCTGCTTCTGTTTACACTTTTCTTTGGAAGATTTATTTTCCATATTTGAAAGGAAGAGTTACAGAGAGGCAAGGGGGGAGAGGGGTCTTCCATCTGCTGGGTCCCTCCCCAAATGGCCACAACGGCCAGAGCTGCACCGATCCAAAGCCAGGAGCCAGGAGCTGCATCCTGGCCTCCCACGCAGATGCAGGGCCCAAGCACTCGGGCATCCTCCACTGCTCTCCCAGGCCACAGCAGAGAGCGCGATGGGAAGTGGAGCAGCCAGGACTCGAACCGGCGCCCGTGTGGGATGCCACATCACAGGCAGCAGTTTTAGCTGCTACGCCACTGCGCAGACTCCTACTTATTTTTATTTGAGAGGCAGAGAGAGAGAGAGGAAGAGAGTGCTCTGTCTGCTGATTCAGTCTCCAAATGCCTGCACAGCGTGGGCTGGGCCAGGCTGAAGCCAGGAGCTCCATCTGCCTCCCACGCAGGTGCAGGGGCCCAGCACGGGGCCATCTTCTGCCGCCTCCCAGGGTGCATGAGCAGTGGGCTGGAATCTGGGGGATCTGGGACTTGAACCCGGGCTCCCTGATGTGGGATGGACGCAGGCGTAACCACTGGGCCAACCGCCTGCCCCAATTATGATTTATTTATGTATTAAATTGAAAAGGAGAGAGACAGAGAACTCCCCCATCCACTCGTCCGTTCCCCAAATGCTGGGAGCCCAGGACTCCATCCGGGTCTCCCGCCTGGAGGCAGGGACCCAGGTGCCTTAGCAGGAAGCTGGGGCGGGGTGGGGGGGGACCGGGGGCTCCTTAACCTCTCACAAAGGCCCACCTGGCACCCATCATTCCTGAAAAATTCCCACCTGAGCCCCGGGGACCCCCAGGCCACGGAGGAGCGACAGCCCCCCCCCAGGGCGGACAGCCACAGTCCAGGGCCTGCTCCCCCCCCGGGGGGCTCTCTGCGGCATCATCCACCCCCTCCCCTGGCCCCATGGCGGGCGGGGCCTGGGCCGGGGTCTCCAGTCGGTCGCTGCAGCTGCCCGGTGGGCTGGGCGGCCGCAGGTAATGGGGCGAGGAGGCTCCCGGAGCTAGGGGCCAGGGAGCCCCGGGGTGCAGTGCGGGAGGAGCCCGGGGGTCGCGGCGCGCGGCGGGCACCTGTGCCGGGATCCCCGCCAGTCCGCAGGAGCCTCAGCCCCTCCCGGAGCGGCCCTGGGGGGTCCCCGCCCAGCCCTGCGTGGTCTTAGGGAGCGTCGGGGTCCGGGCCCGGCCCCCCACAAACGCACGGCGCCGCTGGCTGGCTTCGGAGACATTTATTTTGCTTGGGGCAGGGGAGCCGCACGGCCTTCGGGGAGGGGGCCTCACTGTAAAACAAGGGCGGGGGCGTTACGGTGACCGCCAGAGCGGGAGGCCCCCCGCCCCGCCCCCGCCGCGGCCGCGCGCACGCACCTGGGCGAGGGCACCGGCGCACTGGTCTGCGGGAGAGAGCGGCGTGAGGGGCGGCCTGGAGCCCTTCCCGCGGGCGGGGCCCCTCCCGACCCTCCCTGAGGGACCGTCGCCCACCCGGCACCCCCCCCCGCGGCTGGCTGGGTGACCCCTCCCAGGCGGGCTCTTCCGGTCTGGGTCAGAGGGCCCCCGCCCCGGAGGGGGTGGGGAGGCGGCGCTCACCGGTCTTGGGCAGCAGGGCGCCCTGGCTGGGGTTCAGGCCCACCTGGGGGCCCAGCAGCTTCAGCTTCTGCGCGCCTTCGGGGAACAGCTCCGGGGCGCGGGCTGGGGGTCGGGGTGGGGTGCGGGTAAGCGCCAGGGGCGGGGGAGGAGGAGGGGCGGGAACGGCGGGGAGGGGACGCTGGGCCGGGGCGGCGCCCACCGTAGAGCTGCAGCCAGACGTTGCGCGTGTCCCCCCGGCGGGTCTCCAGGTACAGCACGGCGAAGTTCAGGTAGTCGGTGAAGGCCACGCGGATGTCGGTCTGGCCCATGGCTGCGGAGAGAGCGAGCCGGCTGCCCCGCGCCGGGAAACCGCACACCCTGGCCCCGCAGCCCCAGCCGCCCCCCTCCCCCACCTGGGGCACCCTCACCTGGGTTGCTGAACTGCCCGGCCACGGCACCCTTGGTGAAGGTCGCCTCCAGCTTTTGACACCCGCCATCGGGCCTGGGGAGGAGGACCCCAAACCCTGAGCTGCAGCCCCTGCTCCCCTACTCCCAGGGCCACAGCCACCTGGAGGGGTGCACAGGGCCAGAGGGCACAGGGTCTCCCCCCACACACAGGTGCACAGGGCACCACACACAGGTGCACAGGGGACCACACACAGGTGCACAGGGGACCACACAGGTGCACAGGGGACCACACACAGGGGCACAGGGGACCACACAGGTGCACAGGGGACCACACACAGGGGCACAGGGCACCACACAGGTGCACAGGAGACCACACACAGGTGCACAGGGGACCACACACAGGGGCACAGGGCACCACACAGGTGCACAGGAGACCACACATAGGTGCACAGGGGACCACACACAGGTGCGCAGGGGACCACACAGGTGCACAGGGCACCACACAGGTGCACAGGGGACCACACACTGACTCCTGGGCCCTTCACAGCCTGTGGCGCTGCTCTCACACCGGCCCCTGTCCCAGCTGAGGCCCAGGTCACTTACAGGGGGTACCCGAACTTCAGGGCCAGGTCGCCATTGGCCAAGGGGGTCACCAAGACCACGGGCATCTTCATGTCGTCCTTGCTGTCCTGGAAGCTCTGGTCATTGGATGCGGCCCCCACCATGTACCAGGTGCCCTGGAACTGCGGGCGGGGGAGGGAGGCTGGGAGGAGGCCCCCCACTGAGCGGAGCTGTCACTTCCTCCCCATCAACCCTGACCTGGGGTTGGGGCCGGGGGCAGCTGCTTGTGGCAGTGGCAGGCCCTAGGAGTGGTGGGGACCAGCTGTGGAGTGGGGCTCCTGGGGGGGTCTCTTCCATGCCCCCAGCCCCAGCTGAGCCTGGATGAGGAACAAGAAGTGGGAGGAGGCTGTCCCGGCACAGGGGCCGGCAGACCGGGACGCACCTGGCTGGCATCGAAGTTGGCCTGTATGGGCACCTGGGCCTGTCCCAGGGATGCCCCGAGCAGGGCCAGGAGGGAGCCAAGCAGCAGAGCCTGCAGCGCCATGGCAAGGGGCAGGAGCGCTGCGGTGGCCGCCCCGCGGAGGCCTTTATGCCCCTGAGATGCCCCGGGGCGGCTGGCAGGCCAGCCGGCGGGGTCCCAGCCCACTGCGATAGGTGCCGATCGAGTTGCACCCTGCAGCACCCTTGGCCCGGCCCAGGCTCCACCTGTTCCGCTGCACTTTGCCTGGGGCTCTCTCGGGCTCTGGGCTGGGGGCTGCCCTCGCCTCCCCGGCCTCCCCCAGCCCCCTGGGATGTCGGCCCCCACTCTCAGCTCAGGCACAGCTGCCTCTTCCAGGAAGACCACTGAGGTCACCTTCACCTCAGGCCTTGTGGGCGGGTGGGGGTGGGGTCCTGCACACCGTGACCCAGCAGCACCGGGACGGAGGCCTGGGGAAGGCCACTGCGGCCGGGCATCTGGGGCCAGCTGGAGGCTGGGATTACAGTTAGGTGGGCCTCGTGTGGCTTTGGTGCCAGCGCTCCGGGGGGGCAGGGCTGTGCGCTCTGGAGACCCAGGCCGGAGTGGCCCAGCGAGTCTGTCCCGGGAGGGGTGGACACACCTGCCTCTCCAAACAGTGTGCCTTTCTGTGCCCTAGACCCTTATCTGCCCACTCTGAGCGTGCTAATCCCACACTTGCAAACCCTATCCGGTCCGCGGCTCCTGTGCAGGGTTGGGGCAGCTGCCTACAGGGATTAGGAGCTGAGAGGCAGGACCCAGCGCCCAGGGGGGCCGGGGCGCAGCGGGCAGCCTGAGGGGGGCTGCCGGGCACGTCCCCTCAGGGGTCCTGACTGGCGGCCCTACCGGGAGCAGACACTGCAGGGTCCCCTGCCCGCCCCGCCCCGTGGATGACTACAGAGAGGCGGGTGTGTGTGTGCTGGGGGTGGGGTCCAGGTGGCTGGAGCCAGGCCCAGGGCGGCGACAGACAGGCAGGAGCCAGGCTTCTGACTTTGCTTGGAGTTTATTTCTGAGCCCAGGAACAGCCCAGGGGGCAGAAGTGCTTGGGGAAGGACGCAGGGCTGGAGTCTCCAGGGAAGTCCGGAGGGCTGGGGTCTCCTGGTGGGCAGAGCAGGACCCATCAGCCCCCAGCCCCGACTTGCAGCAGGGGTCTCCCCCAGGGGGAGTCCTCTGACCTCCCCTGCTCATCGCACCCCTCCCTTCGTCCAGGACGGTCCCTGCTGATGGAGGCCCTCCCCCAGCCTGGGGACCCCCTCCCCCCGGCCAGGCTCCACACCCGCCCCCCCCCGTCCTCCTTGGGGGCCCAGGTCTTCTCTGGAAGGCGTGGTGGGGCGGGGTGCGGAGTGCCCGGGCGAGCCGGCCTCACCTAGTCCTGCTCCTCCATGCATTTATCTGCCAAGAAAGGGGCAGGGGCGTGGTCAGCGCCCAGGCGGGGCCAACCCCCTGCAGGAGCTCCCCCTCCAGGAGCCCCAAACTGCAGCCTCCGGCAGCCCGCCCCTGCCCTCCCGCCCCAGACCCTGCTCACACAGGGGCCACCTTTCTCCACCTCAGCTGCCCGCCACCTGCTGGGCCAGTGCCCCTGTGTTCCCCAAGGGTGACCCCACCTCTCACCACGTGCGGGGGGGGGGTCCTGTACTCTGGGGCCTGGCCCCAGTGTGGGCAGGGGTCCCAGTGAGGGGGCTGCAGGCAGTCAGCCCCTCCCCAGCGCCCTCTCCTGTCTGACCTCAGTGGCCGCCCCTGGACCAGGCGCCCTCACCGTTCCGGGGCAGGAAGACAACGATGTCCTCCGTGAAGCCCTGGGCCTTGCAGAACGCCATGAACTTCTGCTTCAGCTCAGCCCCGGGGGTCTGGCTGCGGCCTGCGGCAGGCGGACAGGGAGCCGGCCTCAGCGCGCCCAGGGCCTGGGAGCCGCCTGGCACTGCCCTCAGGGCCAGCCCTGCGTCCCTCGCCACCCCGGGGCCAGGCGGTGCTGGGCAGGGCACCTACTGTAGAGAGTGGCCATGCGGAAGTCCTGGCCCGGGCCCTTGGCACCCTCACTGTACAGCAGAGCGAACTCCTTGTAGTCGGTGTCCACAACCCAGACAGAGTAGGTGCTGCCCCAGTCTGGGGACCGAGAGACCACCTTGTTGGGGGCCCCGCCTCCCGCCTTGGGGGAAGGGGCACCTTCTGTGGGCTGTGCCGCGGGAGGGGTCTGGCTGCTCTCTGTCCGTCTGCCCACCAGCCAGCTCCCCGTTTCCCATCTGCACAGCCTGGATGCCCGCGCCCCCAGCCAGAGGAGAATCCGGGGTCCAGTGTGGCCACAGCGCTGCTGGCCAGACCCCTGGAGGGGAGCCCACCCCAGGGATGGACGCTGTGTGGAGGTGAGGTGTGGAGGGGACGTGGGGGCTGCGCGTGCCCCCCGCCACGGGGGCAGGGGTGGTGCCTGGCAGAGCTGCAGTGGGGTCTAGAGAGGTTCCAGCCCCCTAGGGGGAGTCCCTCTGCCCCCACGCCCACACCCACAGGTGTGGCCGTCAGGGGCAGGCCTGGCCTGGGAGCCCTCACCCCGGTGCCGAGCAGCGCCCCCACCCCAGCTGTCTCTGGGCAGGAGCCCGCGTCACTCCGGACGGGTGCCACTCCCAGGCAGATCGGGTGGGGCCCACTCACGGGGACTGGTGTAGGTGTAGCGGCCGGGGCGCCCCGCGGGCTGCAGCAGCAGAGTCCGCGTCTCGCACTGGTTTTTCCTGCGGGCAGGTCACCCTCGGGGTCAGGGAGCGGCGCGCGGGGCTCTGGGTCCCGCAAGCCCACCGCCCTCTGTCCCACCTGAGGAAGGTGGAGGTGATGTTGAGCGCCCCCTCTTCCGTGGGGGCCACCGTGGACCGGCACATGGACAGCGCCGCCTTCTTCTCGCGGAACCAGCTCGAGTTGGAGGCGAGGCCCGCGGTGAACCAGCGCCCCAGGAACTGCGGCGAACGACCCTTGGTCTCGGCCAGGACCCTACGGGCCGACCCCGAGAGGGGGGACCCCGCCCCTCCCCCTTTCGGCCCCACCCTCGTGGCTGCCGCGCCACGCCCCCATCCGTCCCGCGCGGCACGCGGGCGGCGCGGACTGCAGAGGGCGGCTCGCTCCGGGAGGGGTGCGGGGCGGGTCTTCGGCTCCCCTCGGCCAACCGCGGGGGTCGACAGGCCGCCGGGGCGGGGCGCGCGCGCTCGCGCACACGCTGCTGCGGGAGCCATCCCGGCGCCCGCGCGGCTCCGCGCCGCGTCCTAGGGCTTGTGCGCCGTGCGTGGACAGCGCTCGGGCGCCGGCGCCCGCACGGACTTGCCGCGTGGGAGCAGGTGCCTCCCGCCGCGCCGCGCCGCCGTCTTTCCCGGCGAAACGCCGGTTGTCCTGGCCAGCGGGGCCCGGTGCCTGGCTCAGCCCCGCGCCGCCCAAAGCGCCCCTTCGCCGGACAGGCCCCTGTCCTGCCGCGGGGCGGGGCGGGGCGGGGCGCCCCTCACCTTGTCCTGTTGGAATTCGGGCTGCACAGAGACCGGGTCCTGGGCGCGGGTCTGCAGGACCCCCAGGACTCCCAGCAGCACCAGCCCCATCCACAGCCCTCGGGAAGCGGCCATCGCTCGGAGCCCAGTAGGCAGAGCTAGGGAGGTGGACAGCGGAGCGGAGGGCGCGCAGCAGACCCCTATTTATGGGCCAGGCTTGGCGGCCGCCCAGGGCGCAAGGACAGCCCACTGCGGGCTCGTGATGCTGGTGGGGGCGGGGAGGCAGCTGCAGCCTCTGCCCCCGCACGGGCGCTTATGCAAGAGGCTCCGCAGAGCCAGGCCGGGGGGGGGGGGGGGGGGCCGGGCTGCGGGAGGGAGCGCGGGGGTGGGCAGGGCCCTGCACCGGGAGCCCCAGAGTCCGGAACAGAGGCCCACGTGCGGCCTACAGGGTGGTCTTGAAGGGCGGTGATGGGGAGTGGCCTGCATGCCTGCCCCCCCCCCCCGCTGCCCTCCCTTGAGTGGGACCCAGATGGGGGGGGGCGGGGCGCAGCACCCCGTGGACCCGGCCCCACCCTGTCACCTGGGCTGGCCCTGCTGGGTGGCTGTCGGAGCAGCCGAGGGTGGGCCGTGCGGGGCTGGAGGGGGTGTCTCTCACAGGCCATGTTCCAGGGCTGCACCGACCAGGCTGTCAGGAGCACCCAGGAGCACCCAGGGGAGGGGCTGCGTCTTTCCCCCACCCCGCCCCTGGGTCTGGGGCCCCATCCCTTCCCGTGGGGGGGGGGTCCAGGCCCTGCTGCCTTAGCGTCAGCACCGGCCTGGGGCTCTTGCTGCCACTGGTGCTGGGCAGAGGCAGGTGTGGGGGAGGGGCCCAGAGTCAGGTGGCTGTGCAGAGGGAGGGGCAGCCCGGCCCCCCATCAGCCCTGCCCGGAGCAGCCCGAGGCACTGTGAGGCGGGCTGGCGGGGGTCTCGGGGGGTCCCCTTTAGGGTGCAGCAGGCAGAGCAACGCGGGGAGCAGGCCGTGGGCGTCAGTCCCCACTGGGGCCCTACCTCTCCTCCAGCTGAGCCCTGCACCCTTCCGCCTGGGGAGACCTCCCCCCAGGGGCCGTCTCCTGCGCTGCTGGTGTTGGAAGCTCTAGAAGATTCCATGTCACAACCCACCCTGGCTCTTGGGACAGACCTGGCCCCTCAGCTGTGTCCCCCGCCCCCCGGCAGTCCACGGCCGAGCCCCCAGTCCATCCTGCTCTGTTCCAGTCCCCAAGCCCTCCACCTCGCCAGGGGCCAGGGCCAGAGACCCGAGGGGTGAGTGGTCGGTGTCCCCCGGGGCCCGGCCCGACCCACGTGCAGGCCCTCAGCCGCCAGCCCCGCCCTCGCCGGTCCCCAGCAGGTGGACGGGCGCTGGCCGGTTTGCGGCACGCGTGGCGTCCACGAGGCTGCTCTTTCATCTTCCGCCAGGCGCAGGGAGGGCTGAGTGGCTGCCAGACCCTGCCGAGCACGTGTGAGGTCTGTGCTGGCCCTCCTGCAGGGATCTATGAGATGGGCTGGGGCGGGTGTGGAGGACGCCCCCCGAGCCCCGTGCGCCTCGGGCAGGGCGAGGGCCTGGCTGCCGGGGGTGGGGACCGGCTGGACGCTGGGACAAGGCCCACGGCAGCACAGCTGCCTGCTGGTCCTCGGAGGACTGGGGGAGCCGGGTGACTGTGAGAGGTCGTTCCCAATGAAAGGGCCCCAGGCCGGCCCCTGGAGCCCACAGAGGCCGGGCACAGTCCGCTCGGTGCCTGCCCTCAGAGGTCTGGGCCTCGTATAGCACCAGGCCCAGGACACACAGCTCCTGGCCTGGG